AGGCTGTGATGGGTAGGGAAGCAGAGGCAGTAGCAGGGGGACAGAGACTGTGGAGCACAAGTGGGTGGGGGCAGAGGCTGTGGGGAGGGGCAGGAAACAGAAGTGACTAGGCAGGGGTGGGGAGGCAGGCACCAGGGGGTATAGGCAGGAGGCAGGGCAGATACTGGGGTGCACAAGCACTGGTTTGGGCCAAGTGGTGGGGGAGGGATAGGTGGCACAGGGCAAGGTGTGGGGTGAGGGCAGGAGGCAAGGGTAGGACCACTTGACTCCCCTGGTACCTTCCTCCCTGCCACTGCTTGCCTGTGGGAAGGACAAAATTAATCCAACCCTCCAATAATTAGATTCTAGGCACAGAAAATTATAAATTTGTAAATGTGGTATTCACTTTGTGAGGAAACTAGACCTTTCTATACATAAAGAACTCAACCAAATATTTTCAACCTAAATATTTTTTGTTAACTCCATAGATTTTAGTAATGGGCTACAGGGGCCTCTGTCTTTGTTGCGTCACAGTAAGGTACTTGTTAGTAAATCATGGAACATAGGAAAAGAATGGCTTGGACTAAAAATGAACTGCAGGTTGATAGCACCTGCATCTTCATTGCTTGATGTTAAGGAAGCCTTGGGCTCCACCTGCGATGTTGAAAGATTCAGTTTGTGCCATGAAATGTATACCATAAGCCTTCCCAGGAACAAGAATTTCTAGTGCTATTTTAAGGTTTTGAAATTATCACACACATTTTCAGTAGCTGTTTCTCTACATTTATAGATATCAGGAATCCTTCTGTTGCAGTTAAAAGTAGACAACAGGTTATTCAAGATAACAACAAGCGAAGGACTTTGTTGCAAGATAACAGCTGGATAAAGAAGAGATCTGAGGAGGAAAAGTAAGAGTGATAGTGTACAACATATTTCTCCTGATTGCAGGTTAACATCTTGTATTCCTTTGTCTTGATTTGCTATCTGATTTTTTGCATGTACAACCTTTTACTAACTGGATCTGTACGTGTGTTTGAATGTATTGACACAGCCATGTGAGGCACTGACTGCCTTCTGCCCAGTGCTAACATAACTAGCCTCCATTTTTATTTTAGTGGGGTATGTAACATTTTATAAGGCTGCTGTCTCACATTATTTGAGGAATAAAAATGACAGAGCGTGCACTCCTAAATGCTTTGATTGCACGAATATTTAATTCTGTTACGTCTGCAACACAGTGAGTAATTAAAGGTGGTATATCCCATTAAGTAACTTAATTACATCAAGACTACTACTTTAAATATAATGGTGCCCTAATTATTACATTATAGTGTTGTAATACCTAGAAGCCCCAACTGAGATCAGGCCACCATAGCACTGGTTGCTATATGAATAGATTCCTCTGTGAAAGAGCTTACACAATCTGTAGAAGCAAGACCTGTACTCAGTGGAATTACCATGATGTAAAAATGGTGCAAGATCTGAATTAGGACACAAGTCTTTGTCAAGAAATTATCTTATTGCTTTAAGATATCTCTATTATATTTATGTCCTTAGAAACTGTTTGATTTGTAATCAATAATCTGCCTTTTAAAAATTGTAGCACTGATGAAAATTACGGGAGGGCTGTCCTAAACCAATACAAATCCCAAGATGGCTTACACAGGTACAGTAGCTTGTCTATACATCTTTGAAATGATAATGTCAGAGATAAAGGGAAAGGCACATGCTTGTACTAAACACCATTTTATATGGAAAGCTTGTTTTATTCAGTTTTGAGCCCATTCCTGCTCCCATTGTAATAATTGATTTCAAAGAAAGTTGAACTGGGCCCTTTGACATCTGAGTAGACAGGACTACTGTGTGAAGTCTTAATGCAAGACTTGTACTTTGTTTAAATTGTACTCAGATAATGATATATTTACATATTCTGTTTATTTGGCATAAAATAAACACATTATCATTTGTTTTTAATTACTTCTAATTAATTAACTAATCTTTTCTTAACACCAGGAACGTGAATGAAAAAGAAGATCAGAAAGTTCACCTTGGCCGATACAGATCTGATACTTCTTTAGACAAGTAGGTTTTTCCCCTTCCTATAAAGTATTTTTCATTTCTAGTGCATATGATGATTTGTATGTGTTTTGCCTTGAAAGAGAAGAATTAAATGAAAAGTTTCACGTTAAGTCTTGCATTTATGACCATTTCTAACACTTGTACCCATTTTTCCACCTAGAACTTTTTGTCTTTCAGGAGGGATATTTGTACATCTAGAAAAGTGATTCTCAACCAAGGGGTTGAGATACCCTGGGGTGTCACTAGATCTTTTGAAGCATTATGTCCATTTATTATGCTACCTGGTGGTCTTCAGACTCTTCACACTGGTGATGACATTCACCTTAAGATGGCTTAAATAATATACTAAAACTGCATACATTTTTAAGGGTAAATACATTTTTAAGTATGCTGGGTGGTGTAAGGAGATAAATGCGGTGTTAAGAGATAAGCAGATAAACTAAGAAGATGAGTCCAGGCTCAGGATTGGTCCTGACTGGACAATCCCCCATCTCCCATACCAGGCCTGGACAATTCCCCCCTCCCCAATGCCAGGCTGCTCTGCAGGGAAGTAAGCACTGTAATATATATAATAGTTTTTTAAATTAGTATCTGGGTGTGTCCTATAACCATTAGATTTTTGGGATACAACAGGGCTGCTCAACCCCTGGCCCATGGGCTCTGCACAGCTGCTGCAGGAAGCTCGGGGCAGCACTAAGGGGGAGGGTCTGCTTTTCCCCCATGCTGAACACACTTCTACCTCACCAGTGCTGCAATTGCTGCAGCTGTTCACTGTGAGCGTGCGAATCAGCAGCAGGCACAGGGTGGGTCAGGGCTGCACATGGGTCCACACCAGTACCGCATCTGGAGGTGGAAATGCTGATCACAAGCAGCCAGTATTGATTCTTAAAAAAACAAAACATGTTAAGCAAACCTGATCTGCTTCTTTGACAAAGTAACTACTTGGGTGGATGAAGGGAATACTGTGGATACAGTGTATCTGGACTTCAGTGTGGTTTTAGACAAGGTCCCACACCACCTTCTCATAAACAAATTAGAGAAATGTGGGCAGGGCAAGACTACTACAAGGTGAATAGATTACTGGCTCAAAAGCCTCAAGCAAAGGGTAATTATAAATGGATCCACGTCAGAATGGCAGGAGGTTTTGAGTGGAGTCCTACAGGTGCCTGTCCTGGGCCCAGTGCTCTTCAATGTGTTTATTAACAATTTAGATGTTGGCATAGAAAGCCTCTTGAGCAAGACTTAGTATGAGTCTGTAGTGTGATGCAGCCACACAAAAGATGAATGTATTTTTGGGATGCATCAATAGAAGCATTAGGTGCAAGACACAGCAGGTGATAATGCCTCTCTACTCAGCACAAGTTAGGCCTCATCTGGAGTACTGTGTGCAGTTCTGGGCTCCACACTTTACAAAAGATGTGGGCACGGCCGGCCCATCCTATCCTGCATAACCTGTGGCCACAAGGGGCCCTGCAGCCAAGGGGCCCCCTATGGCTGTGAATACTCCAACTCAGTACTGTAGCAAGGGGGTGGGGGTGGTTGCCACCACTCTGCGTTGCTGCTGGTACTGGCTTCTTTGGCCACTTGCCACCCCCTCTTCCTCTTGCTGCTGATACCACCGTTGGCTCTTCAGCTGCTCACCACATCCCCTTCCTACCCCTCCACCCCACTGCTACCACTGCCGCCACCGACTTCTTCATGTCAGGGGCTCCCAAAGAATTGTAGGCCAGCCCTGGATGTGGAGAAGTTAGAGAGGTCCAGAGGCAGCAAAGTTGATTAAGAGCATGGAAGGCAAGTCATACGAGTAGAGACGGAAGGAGCTAGGCATGTTCAGCTTGTGGAAAAGGTGAGTAAGAGCAGTTTTCAAATACTTGAAAGGCTGCCAAAAAGAAGAGGGAAAGAACCTTTTCTCTCTTGCTGCACAGAGGAGGATGCGGACCAAAGGCTTGAAGTTGCAGCAAAGTAAGTTTAGGTTAGATATCTGGAAAAACTTCTTTGCTGTTAGAATAGTGAGGGAAATTGTGGACTGTCCGTGGCTGGAGGTGTTCAAGAAGAGGTTGGACAGCCACAGGTCGGGAATGAGCTAGGATAGCTATGTCTATGTTCTACTATAGGTATGCTCCTGAGCTTTGCTGTTTTCCCTCTGCCCCTTCTGCTGCATTTGTCAGGGTGTTTTTAGGCCTGGGATATACCAGTGCTCTTGCTGGGACCAAAGCTAGTCCTGGCTGCAGGGTCTTGCCCCTCTGCTCAGGATCAGACTGATCACCATATTTGGGGTCAGAAAGGAATTTTATCCCATGGTGAGATTGGTATGGACCATGGGGTTTTTGCTTTCCTCTGTAGCAGGGGATGTACCTAGGACTTCTTGAGCATATATTGACAAAATTTTATAGAAGTAGGGCATTGGCTGCCCTGGTTCCCCGGCTTTACCTGTGGCAGAGGCGAGTATTTACATACGTGTTGTGTCAGGATTGACGTTAGTCTTATGTAGAATTTAGGTTATGGTTTGTACAGGATGATTTGGATTAGGGATGATCCTGCATCAGGCATGGGGCTGGACTAGATGAGCTCTGGAGGTCCCTTCCACCCTACTTCTCTATGATTCTATGATAATTGGGCACCTAATCCCAGTGTGTGGGGCCAGGTGGGTATGGTGCCTGCCCCCATTCCCCAATCCCAATGTGAGGGGCTGGGTAGGGGCAGTGCCAGACCTCAGGGACCAATCCTAGTGTGAAGGGAGGGAGAGGGATGCTAGGCTCTTTAGGGGCAATCCTGGTGTGTGGGAAAGAAGGAGGCATGGCCTGGGCCCCAGGAGCCTATCCTGGCATGCAAGGCCTGATCTGGTTTGCAGACTAGCTCTGCCTCACTCATCAGGCCTATGGTGCCAAGTGGTTGAGTACCACTAAACTACAGATTTCCCTTGGTTTATGTAAGTTCTTTATATGTGAATTTGCTCTTATGCCATGAGCATATTTGTGTAACCCGGGTGGTACTGCAAGAGGTACCCCCACTTCAATTGAAAGATCAAAGCAGGTGCACAAGCACTGTGGGAGGTGTAGGGACTCTCCTCCCCTATAGAGCAGAGCCAGACCACCAATGCGGACTTAACCATATACCTTTTAATACTGGGAACTTAACAGGCATAAATCAGAGGGTATAGTGGGCACTACAATGCCCCAAGGGGGCAGGTTTCAACAAAGGTTAGACACTTACAATCGCTGACAAAACAAGGTTAACAAAATATTAAACTCAAACAGCAGAACAAACGGTACAGGCTGGTGAAATATACAAAGGACTCAAAATGCAAAATGACAAGGAAACATAGGGCCTTGGTACCTGGAGGGGGAGAAAGGGGGGAAAACACAACGGCCCCTTTCCACTGCAATAAGATTTGCTCCTTGTTAGTTCACCCACCCCAAGTTACCTCAGCTGGGACTTGAACCCAGATTTCCCATCTTGCAGGCAGGAACACTGCCATACAGCCACCACTAATGGCACTGCACCATCCTACTGGGGTCTTGACCTTCCTGGAGCCCAGCCTCACATTGAGCTGCCTGGCCTCTGATTGGAGGAGCTGGAAGCAGAGCTGGGAACCTCTCAGGTCACTGCTCAGATCCTTTTTGGAGCAGAGGGGAGCCTCTCCTGCTGGCTGTAGCCTCTTGTAGGGGATCCTGGAGCCCAGTGGAGAGTCTCTCCTGCCAACTGCACGCCGCACTGCTGAGGGTCCCACTGCTGCCTGTAGATCATGCTCTTTCAAGCTCTTCTGGGGCACTGCTCCTGGCTCAGCTCTGTGAAGCTCCTTCTTTGTTGTCCCTCACTGGTCTCCCTCTTGAGTCAGCCCACACTGCCCCTTTTATCCCCCTCCAGCTGACCCAAGGGGTCTATTGGGACACGGGGGGAGGGGTGTGAGTTTCTGGGGCCTGATTGGTGTGGAAAGGGAATCCAATCCTCCAATCATCTTTTACCCCTTCAAAAACCCTGGGCCAAATCATTACCAGATTGGTGAGGAAAGGGAATCCCAAGTCCTCCAATCATCTTTTGCCCTTTCAAAACCCCTGGGCCAGGTCACTGCCAGTCAGCCCATCACATCTAGATCCATAATTTGTTATATGCAAAGACATTTGCTCTTATGCGATCAGCATAGGTGTCCCCTACCCAAGCAGGTAAGTCTGTGGGGGGAGGGGAAAGGGCTGTGGCCCCACTCACTCCAGCTCTGGCTGCAGCAGCTCTGGGAGTGGCTGGAGCCAGCTGTCTGCAACCTCTGGGCTCTACCATGCTCTGCCTGTCCCCACTCACCTCTGCTCCTGGGCTGCATCATGCCATGGTGCAGGCAGCTGGTGTCCACTGCTCCCAGGGGTGCTCCAGCATGGACTGGGGGAAGTGCCACTTCCCAGGGCTCTGCTTGTCTGCGCTCACCCCAGCCCATGCTGGAGCATCTCCAGGAGCAGCCAACACTAGCTGCCTGCACCAGGGCACGGCGCAGCTCAAGAGCAAAGGGGCATGGGGACTAGCGGAACCCAGGCATGGGGGGATAGGCAGAGCACAATGCAGCCCACTGGTTGCAAGCAGTTGGCACCAGCTGCTCATGGGGCTGCTGAAGCTGGGGCTGGGGTGAGTGCTGTTCTGTTCCCTCTGTTTTGCTGCCTTGTGAAGCCCTGGGAGCGGCACCCCTCCCCCCATCCCTTCCTTAGTCCCAGCCTCACTCCCTCCCTCCCTCCCTCATCACCATGCGAACCTATCCCTATTTGTGACATTGTCAAGTGGGTTTGCTTTATGTGAATTCAATTTATGTGCCATTCTCCAGGAATGCATGTACTGCATAAATAGAGGGAAACCTGAAAAATAAAGTTCCCCCACAATAGTACAGTTTTGGGGCTCAGGCCTCAGGTAAGTACGTACAGAATTGTGTAACTGCCTGATCAGAATGGAGCCTACTGTGCATGCTCAATGTGTATGTCTGCTCCGCATGTGGAATAGGATTGCAAACTGTGCATAAGTGTCAAAAAAGCAGTTATGGAGCTGGGTAAGGGCTACTTGGGTATGTAAAGTCAAAGAGGATTTTTTTCTTCTTTGGCCATTTATATAGACAATCACTTGGGAGTCACTTATTGTGCATTAGATACATGCCAGTTCCTTGGAGGAAAAGGAACACTTACCCACCTTCATGGTAACTATTATTCAAGATGTTTTGTACATGTATACATTCCATACATCTTTGTAAATACTTTTGAAGGGACTGAGAAGGTGGATGATATGGCTACCCCCTTTATCCTTTGTCTCTAAGAACAAGGACGTGCAAAGCACATACTCTCTGACTCAACAATAGTGCTATTGAAAGCCTCTGGCTTGAGTGCACTATGTACATAGACACCACGGTGGATGTGTACTTGCATACCACATCTTGAAGAACAACAATTAATCATACAGATAAGTGTCAGCTTTTTCCTACCGTTAACTAATGATCAATCCCACCTTTGTCCGTGAGAAGGGTGGGGCAAAGGGAGTTTCCTATGCAAAATATATCTTCCTTCTCATTAAGAACAAATTATATATGGGGAAAAGAGATGGAGGACATACATTACATCTGTTGGTCAGGATGCTGGTTATACTTTTATATCTATATACAAAATACATCTGACTCCATAACTGCTTTTATGAGGATTCAACTATTTCCTTTATGTGACAACTAAGTCTTGAAAGACAAGACTGTAACAGTAAAGAGGACGTTCAAGCCAACCCCAGTTTCCTATTTTATTATTGCCCAGAATCCCTGAAACATGGGGACAGAAATACAAAGTAAGTGAAACATGGACATTTGAAATTTTCTTCATTATCCCCAGTAAAACAAAAGTTGGAGGAAAGTCTAGTATGTAAGTCTGATACTGATACAGCTGGTTCTTCAGACATTTGAGAATTATCAAGAAATGTAGTCACTGTTAGGAAGTTTAGTGAGACCTCTAGTGATCTACTGAATAACTGCTGGCTAGTCACAGGCTACCTTGGGCAAAAGTACTATTTATTCATCTAATATTAAGTTCTTTATTTAAAAATGAAACTAAAACCCAGAGAGGACACTAGTATAAACTGTGCATTGGAATCCACATAGAGAATTCCACTGAAAGTACCAGTTGCCTATTGTTTACGTAAAGGCAGATTAAGTAATTCTTTGTTTCACTATATGGTATTAATCCAGTAGATACCTGAATAAACATTGCTATGCTGTCTCAATAAATTTGTATAATATTCCTGTAAAAAGGAGTAAGAAACACTAATTATTTTTCTGTATATTTCTTTATTTAAATAAATAGGTTTTGATGGAAACTTTTTTTTAAAGAATTTGTTAGCCAGGTACTTAAATATGCACATTAAAGTTACTAATCAGTTGTAAGGTATATAGTTTAGCCTTGGTCTTTTTGGTAGAGTTCTTGTTGATATCGGTAGGGGTTCCATATATGGAATGAATACAGAACTATGTAAGTGGAACTAGCTCTGGCTCTAAGATATTATGAACGATAGATAGTCACCCTTCCACAAGAGAGAAAAAATAATACTGGGATAGCTTCATAATGATTTCACTGAAAGGTTTTAGGCAACAAATGGAGAATCCATAAAGGGCATGAAAAGTCATGTGCTTCTTCCTTAATGTAGATCTAATGGCTTCATAAAATCAATATTAAGTACTACTTGTCTAATCTCTTTGGTTGATGTATCTCCTGTGGATTTTAGCTCTGTTCCAACAAGGATGTTATACTAAGGTATTTTCAAATCACATTGATCTCTAAAAGCCATAAAAAAACAGTGTGCCTCTCATGGGACAGTGGATGATGGTTTCTGTATTAATTATACACTACTACTTTATCAAAAACAGTCTAAATATATTCACTAGAACTGATAGCAATTTAAAGGAAAAAAATATTAATTTTATTTTCATGTCATTTTGGTAGATATAGAAGTCAACATTTGAACTGAGATTTAATTTTTTTTCAGCAAGCTAGACAAACTTTCAAATATACATGTACTATTATTATATTGTTTCATTTGCTATTTTATTCTTACCTCTCAACATCTGGTATACTGTTAATATAAAATGTTTAGACTCCATAATATTTGATTTTCCATTTTATTCTTAGTGGTGGTTTTTTTTTTTTTAAATAAGACTTGATTCTAATCTTAAGTGATTGTTATAATTTATTTTGTACTACTTTTTTCCATATAGAATTTCAGATAGAAGTGATGTTGAGAAAGTAAATAAATCCCCAGTCTTGGATAAGAAGCCAACTAATAGGTATGAGTTTAGGAAACCTACTTAATTATGAATTATTACTTTTTGTTTGTTTAGTTACAAATATATCTACAGATAAATAACTAATATTATGTGGTTATGTAATGAATTTAGTATTCCATATAGGTTGTTTGGGGGAGGGGGGTGGCTTTTTGTTTTTTGCTTTTAGTGTGGACAATTTAGGTAAAAACATCTCAATCTCAGCAGTAAAATTTCAATTGTCCTAAAAAGTTGAAAGCCAGAAACAGGGAAGGGGAGGAGGGGATGGGACAAAAGGGACTGGGACTCTCTCTCTCTCTCTCTCTTTCTCTCTCTCTCTCTCTCTCTCTCTCTCATATATAGGCAGATAAAAACCAAAACTATTTTGGGGGAAGGTCAGTTTTCCAGTAGGGAAAATTTTCAGATTTCGAGGAAAGTAGATACTTTCTGTAAATGTTTTTCATTTTATGAACAACCTAACCTTTATGAAAAGGTCAGGTATTATATTTATTAATTTAATGGGACAAATCCATTCTTAATGCAACTTCATTATAGTTATATCCTCGAGAAATTATGTCTAGTATAGCTGGTTGTGATAACTGAACTGTGAAAGGGCTCAGATACTTCTAAAGAGAAACTTAGTAACTCAGAGCACCAAATTTCCGGATCCATGGGTCTGCATACTGGATCCCACCTCACTGGGCAGGAGTGGTGCTAACTCCAGGGGTCAGTCCTGGGGTGGAGAGGCTGGGAGTGGGGTGGTACCAAACCCCCAGGACCCAATCCAAGTGCCCTAGGATGGAAGGGGCAGTGTCAGGCCCCTAGAGATCAGTTGCCATGTGTAGGGATGAGAGAGGGCAGTGCCCAGGGCCTGCTGCCTGTGCTTAGGATAGTGAGGTTGGGGTTCAATCCTGGTGCATGGGGCTCAATCCATCTGTGGACGGGTCTTACTTCACTCATCTGGCCTGTAGGGCCAACAGATTGAGCACTGGTCTAGAACAAAATTCAAAGTGGGCCGTAAGTTGGTATTAAATGGTTCATCAATTTTGCCTTTACCTTCTATACTAGTGATTCTCAACAGGGATGCCATGAGATCCTTTTAAGGATACTCTGGGGTGGTTTGAAATATTAGCAATTGAAATATTATGTGTGCAAACACCTATGCATGATTCACAGGATAAACCCAGGTTTCAAATAGGAATACATAGTGTCAAAAACATTTTTATTTGCTGTGGACTTTCTGATTCTTTGTAACAGAAGTGCTTTTATTATTTTTCTGCAGTTAAAAAATGAGTAAAATTAGTTTTCAAAATGGAATGCTGCTAAATTCAGAAAAGTTATGGAAATATGCCTTGAGTCGAAAAAGGATGACAACCAATGCTTTATGTATTTGCTGTCAGATAATTATAACAAGATGCATATTTATTCTCAGTAGCTCAGAAGTGGAGATGGCAGTGCAGTAATTTGAGAAGTAAACTTTTTCTTATGAGAAAAATTACAATAATTAAAATATGATCTTTATGCTGTCTGTTATGGGTAGAATTTTGGATAATGTGTTAGCCATCTAAATAAAGGTGCTTATTTTCCATAAGTAATTATAAAACATACAATTTTAAATATCAAAACCAATATTCAGTATTTTTGTGGCTACAGAGGGCAGTATAGAGACATGGATGGATATAGTGGCTAAGATATAAAGAAAGCAATGATATGTAGTGCACAATTTGAGAATATTAAGAAGCTCAACCTTTCAGAACACTGTCTGGACATCTGAATCCTTGAATAATTCCTTTCTAGACATGGAAAATATATAAATTTGTTATAATTGTCCATGTCTAGAATCTTATTATTGTAGTATTTTCTTAAATGTATCTCCCTTGCCATAGCAGCATCACAATAGGGGGCAGGCAGTGATGCGGCAGGTGGTAGGGGGCCTATGGGTGGGGTAGGCTGTAGGGGTGGCAGTGGGGGAGTCGAGCAAGTTGTCCCCTGCACTTTGACCCCCTACACAACTTGTTCCCCTACACTCTTCCTCTTGCTGTCCATCTTCCCTATCACTTGCCCTCCCTACTGCCTGTCCCGTTTTGCCTGCATTCCCCACTTTCAGCCCCCTCCTGTGGTGCCCCCCCCATCCTGGCACTTGCCTCCATACCTGCACCCCCTGGCACCTTCATCCTTCCTGTGTTCCTTCCTGCCCCTACCCATTGCCTCTACTCCCCTTCCCCACCACTTATCCTTTGGCTCTGGCAGGGATCCAGCCCAGGGCCTGGAATGTGGGGGTGCTTCAGCCCCAGCCCAGCCTGGTAGCAGCTAATGATGGGAAGCAGCTCTGGGCCAGAGCTACTCAGCTGGGCTGGGCTGAGCTAGAGCAACCCCACGGTCCATCCCCCAGGATGGAGCAGGTTTGCAGCCTTGCCAGAGCCAGAAGATATGTGGCAACAGTGGGTGTAGAAGAGGGGCAGAGGCTGCAGTGGGGAAAAGATGGTGCAGGTGCAGGCAGGGGGGCAGAGGTTGTTTGGGGGAGCAGGCAGTTGGCTCTGACCCCAACTCCAAGTGTGGGCCAGATTTAGAGTTGCAGCAGCGGCCTGCCTCCTCACAGCCTTGTGCACAAATCCAAAAAAAGGCACTTTCCCCACTATGTTAAATGGGACTGTCTTGGATTTGAGTAAATATGGTAAAAACAGCCAACAGTTCCAGATATAACCAGTTTTTAATTCCATCTTTCAAAGAATTTTGTAAGGGCAGACACCTCATTCTTGATCCTTAATTTATCACTTAAAATTAGAACTTAATTGGCAAATAATAAATACATTAAATATCCTTCCTTAACAGGCAATCCTGGGCTCCTACCACATCAGTCACTACCACTGATACCACTACTACCTCGCCTGTGAAGAAAAAAAGGTATTCACTGTCATCTTTCTTCTGTTGCTGGAGGATATTTATGGGTTTACATCATGTCACCAGTAGACTCTTAACATATTGCTCTTAACAGAATACAAGCTTCTTTCACAAACAAGCTTGGATTCCTTTTCAAAAGAATTAAGCTCCGGCTGTCTGCCCTCACAGTGCCTTTGTACTATCTGTTTTTGCTGGACCTGACACAATCCCTGATTCTTGCATGGGACCCTTCAATTCCAAGTAACACAAATGAACAATAGTATTGCATTCAATATTGATAACATTTAAGTTTAAATAAATCTAATTTCACTGGCATCAGCTAAGAGGTTATTAGAACTGGCTGTAGAGGACCTTTCCAAATAATTAATTGAAAATGGGCTGCTGGTGGATGTCCATCTTTCTTTATATATTTCCTTCCCGATAGCAGATTCCACCTTCTGCTCCTTTTGGGCTTTCCTCCCATTGCCTTCTCTTTTCATGTACTAAAGTGATGACCAGTGAAAAAGTTAATGTTAAAATTAAAGTGTTATTACTGGGTTTAGAGTGAATACTCCAGTGTGATCAATGGAGGGGTAGGCAGTTCACCTCTCAGTAATTTTTTCAGGTTTGCAGACCTGAGATGAACCTGGCCTAGCATCAGTTATACTTAGCTAGGATGGGAAGGCTTTTATAACACTATTCCCAAGACTGATGTTTAGATACTTATTTATTTTAACAACTGTGACGGGCTGGCTGGCAGTGACCTGGCCCAGGGGTTTTGAAAGGGCAAAAGATGATTGGAGGACTTGGGATTCCCTTTGCTCACCAATCAGGCCCCAGAGACTCACCCCCTGTGTACCGATTGGCCCCTTGGGTCACCTGGAGGGGGATAAAAGGGGCAGCGTGGGCTGACTCAGGGGAGACCAGCGAGGGACAACAAGGAAGGCACTTCACATTGCTGGCAAGAGCTGAGCCAGCAGGGCAGGAGCAGTGCCCCGGAAGAGCCTGAAAGAGCAGGACCTGCAGGCAGCAGTGGGACCCTCAGCAGTGCAGCATGCGGCCAGCAGGAGAGGCTCCCCACTGGGCATCAGGATCCCCTACGAGAGGCTGCAGCCAGCAGGAGAGGTTCTCCTCCTCTCCAGCAAGGATCTGAGCAGTGACCTGAGAGGTTCCCAGCTCTGCTTCCAGCTCCTCCAAGCAGAGGCTCCGGGAAGGTCAAGACCCCTAGCAGGCTGGAGCAGTGCCACCAGTGGTGGCTGTGTGGCAGCATTCCTGCCTACCATGTAGGAGATTTGGGTTTAAGTCCCAGCTGAGGTGACTTGGGGTGAGTGAGCTAACATGAAGCAAATCTTCTTGCAGTAGAAAGGGGCCATTGTGTTTTCCACCCTTTCTCCC